GCTTCTACATGCTCCTGCTGCTGTGGTGTTCTGCTAATGGAGCCAGCCGTGCCATGAACAGAATCTTGCAAACTGTAAGCCGAAACAAACCTTTTGATTGAGGCTGTGGTGGTGCACACCTTTAATCCCAGCACTCAGGAGGCAGAGACAGAAAGACCTCCATGAGTTCCAGGCCAGCCCTGGATACAACGTGAGAGCCTGTCTCAATCCCAGTAACCACATGGTGGCTCACAACCATCTATAATGGGATCCGATGCCATCTTCTGGTGTGTCTGAAGACAACTACAGTGTCCCCATATATATAAAATAAACAAATACATCTTAAAAAAAAAAAAACTAAACATCTCCCTCCCCATATAAATTGTTCTTCTTGGTTACTTGTCCTGACTGAGAAACACTCTGCTCTGGACGCTCCATGCCCTTTTAGGGGTCACTCATTCCATGGTCCTGACTTAATGTTGTGTCCCCTGTGCCTGGCAGATCTCAGCACTCTGGGGCTCCTCTCCTCTCAGCCTGTGCCTGCTAAGTGAAACAGGGCACTGTTAATGCAGCTTGCGCTCCAGAGTCAGGCTGAGAGGTTAACCTGGCCAAGGACACAGCGCCCAGCTCGTCTACCTTCACCGTTGACACTACATACCCACATACGTCATTCATTCTTTATCGTGACAGTGCTCAGTTATTAGTGAGGAACCACAGTCATTTATGTGACTAATCACCATCTGGGTTCCTGGCATTTTTGCAGGCAGCCGTCTTCCTGTATTTCACAGCAGAATCCCTACTTGAGATGCTTAGATCTGCATGCATTCAGTGTGACTACCACCAGGTCATCGTGTGTACAGGTGGTGCCAGTCTGCCACCCTTTCCCTGAGGCAGGACAGTGTCTGTGCTCTGCGCTGTGTTCAACTGTAAAACTCCCCAGACATTCCCTAGTGGTTACTAGAATGCTTCCCAGTGGTGCCTAAGCTGGGAATTAGGGTTTGCTCCCCTGTGGTGAGAAAGCCCACATGGGCCCAAGCGATCAGGTCAGAACTCATCCAGATATCCACACAGAAAAAAAGGAGGTGGGCAGTGATTGGCTACAGCCTGCAGTTTGCTCCCTGTCACTCACCAGGAAGCCAGCTGCCACTTGACACAAGTGGTTTTTTTTCATGTCCTTTCCTAAAATAAGTCAGAAGGAGCTCCGGGGGGTGGGGGACTTTTCACCAAGCAAAACAGAAAAACAGAGAGTAGAACAGATCCCAGGTTTCGGGAGTTACCTGGGGAATCTCTACCCATCCAGTCCATCTAAGACTTATCAGATGAGGAGACTGAGGCCCAGAGATGCTGTTGCTAGTTCAAGATCATAGAAGAGCAGAGAGAAGCAGTGGTGGACCGTGCCCAGGCTAGGTCTTCTAACAGCAGCCCAGAGCCGACTGCATCAAAGCAAGGCTTGCCTACAGGCTCCACTAACGACTTCCTAAGTCTCTAGGACTTTTGAAAATGAAGGAAGCCAAGCTCCCCCCTCTAAACAGAAGCCATGGGACTACCTACATGGTTTGGGGTGTGCTATCCCCACCTTGGCTTTCCTTTCCTGGAGGAATGTTTAGATTCTTCTCCATCCTTTCAGACCAAAAGGAACATTACCTTCTATGAATGTTTCTGGACCCCTAGGGCAGCAGGTTCTCTGGTCAACGTTCTCAGGTCCTAACCTTGCCCCAACACACACAACACTTGGTGGTGGCACGGGCTCTTTTCCCTGAAATGCAGGTCTGTTTCACATTCATCTGTATAACCCAGCACATACCGTTAGCTAAGAAGGGGACTGCTCTGAGTCCAAACTCCTAAGTGGAAGACATCCAGCCTGTACCTAGCTTGCAGCGGAATTTAGAGTTGGCTGCAGGGCCAAACAGCGTGAGAAGATTCTAATCTCGGATCCAATGGGCTTTCAACACACACTGCCTAGAGGTGCCAAGCAGGTCAGACTGACAGTGAGTGGGCGTAGGGTATAAAATGCTATTTTGTGTGCAGAGAGTTCCAGGGCTGCAAAGTGACCTTATCCCGGTAGGCTGTCACTGCTCTTCAGCATTCTGTCTGTGAGACCTACCTGTCTCCTTCTGCCAAGGGGACAACTCTCAGGCCTGGCTGACCCAGACCTCAGGATCAAGGACAGAGTAAAGCAGGCTGACGGTATCTGTACTTAGGACAAAGGACTTCGGTGAGTCATCCTGACAACCTCCAGCTATGAAGTGCCTTCTATGAGAGCAACTTACGAAAGGATGAGAAACTGGGCTAAGTCCAAGCAGGTCAGATGGCTTGTGGGTAAAAGCATGAGCTAGCAAGCCTAAAGGACAAGGCTTGATCCCCAAGAGTCACACGATAGGAGAGAATCAACTCCATAAAGTTGTCCTCTGACTTCTACATGTAGATTGTGGCACATGTGTACAAACACATGCATTATACATACAATATTAATAAAGATTTAAAACTAAGGTCAACAAGATAGCTCCCTGGCAAAGGCCCTTGCTGCCAAGTCTGACTACCTGAGTTTGAGCGGAAAGTCCTATATTGTAGGAGAGAATTGACTCAAGAAAGTTGTCCTCTAGCCGGGCAGTGGTGGCGCACGCCTTTAATCCCAGCACTTGGGAGGCAGAGGCAGGTGGATTTTTTAGTTCGAGGCCAGTCTGGTCTACAGAGTGAGTTCCAGGACAGCCTGGGCTACATAGAGAAACCCCGTCTCGAAAAACAAAAAAACCCAAAAAATCAAAAAAAAAGAAAGAAAGTTATCCTCTAAGTTGTCCTCTGATCTTCCCATGTATGCCATCGTGTGCTTGCAACACACACATACATACACACACACACACACACACACACTTCATGTAAAAATTAAAGTTAAAAAAATTAAATTAAAAACACATAGAAAGGAACACAGCAAACTCTGGAATGTGGACTCCAATACCTCAAGTGCCCTTTAATTCGCTTGTTTACACGTGGACTGTGTGTACTTAAGAGTGGCATAAGCCATTCTCTAAATACAATCTGGTACCCAGACAGTGACGGATGCACAATGGAAGCTAGTGAACAAACCTCCACACAGGGAAGCAAAATGCATGGCACGACTCTAGTCAGATGCTCCCAAAGCCTTGGGTTTACCACCAAGGGGCAAAAGACAATTTGAAAGACGGCATGAGACTATTTCCATAGGCGACCCAGGCTCTGGGTGTTTCCTCAAGAGATACTGGTTTCTCTACTTTCTCTAAAGGAGCCAGAATGCTCTAAATGCTGTCAAGAGAAAGTTGGGGAGATGATAACCTATGTGGCACATGTGCTCAGCATCTTACATAGCATTTCCTTTAAGTGCTAAAAGAATCGCCTCCCTTTACAGACAAGAGCAACAAGGCTTGCACATTGGTCAGGTGGTTTGGGAGGGATGCCAACATTCACACCTACACCTCAAGGCTGCCCAAGCCCAAACACTCACCCATGCCACACTTCCTCACACAGGAGGGAAGGCATCTTCCTGAGAAGGCAAGGGCTCGAGGAACTCGGGGTGTGGCTAAGTGATAGAGGGCTTGCCCAGCATGCACAGAACCCTGGGCTCCACCCCACCACCCCACCCAGAGCAGAAAGGGAGGAATATCAAGTATAAGCACATGTGATCTGATCTATCTATTTGTAGAGAACGCTGAGCAGCTGAGAGTCCCCGTGTGTTGTCGATTTAATGTTAAACCTGGTCAGGCCACGTGAGAAAAATGTCTGGAGCCACAGTGTGACAAATGAGCCTCTGGCCGCATGCTGTGTCTGCTCTCTTCTGCTGTGAGGTGAAGCTTGAGAGACTTTACCAGTCCTACCGTCATCTCCAGGCCCATTCCTACCCTGGGAGATGAGTGGAAACTCCCAGGTCAAGCATCCTTTCGGTCCACTGTCAACTCAGCAAAGCATCATGGTGACTCCTTTCTGACTGCCTTTCTTCCCCTTTGGCGACAACATCTCACATCCTAAATAGTGATTGGTCAAGTTGACCTGTAGCTCAACAGGATATAAAATACATATTTTAAATAGACTATTATATTTTTAAAAATTATTAGCCAGATGTGGTGGCTTTAATCTTAGTATACCTTTAATCCCAGCACTTAGGAAACAGAGGCAGGCAGGTAGATCTCTGTGAGTCTGAGACCAGCCTGGTCTACATAGTGAGTTCCAGACCAGCCAGGGCTGCATAGTAAGACCCTGACTCAAAAGATTAAATTAAAAATTTAAAACATACTAAAATGAAAAGAAAGAGATTACTCTTAATTTACTAAGCACCTAACAACCTCAGCTTGAGCGAGGACAGTCAGACGGAAGCTCATCAGTTAATGTCATTAGCCAGCTCTGTTAGGGCAGAGCAGCTAATGGAAGCAGCTTCAGGGATCATCATCCAAAGGGCCAGGGGCTCAGCTGTGCCAGGCTTAAGGAGATCACCCGGGAGAGGAAAGGACCCTTCCCACCAGACTGGAAGCCTGCCACGTGAGACATGGGTGAAGAGATTTCTTACCCTAACAGTCACGGTGAATGCCACAGAATGACATGGCTGGAAGCCAGGAAGTGCTGCAAAGAAAGACTCTCATGGCCATGGAACGCCCCTTCCTGGGGTTGTTCTGTTGGTGAGATGGGGAGGAAGAGGCGGGGTCAAAGTCATGGCAGTCATGGCGCTATGTAATATGGATGACTTTGTGTGGCAGCGGTATGTATAATATGGGTGGCTTTGCATGGCAGCGGTATGTATAATATGGGTGGCTTTGCATGCTGGCTGGCTTCCTGCATCAGAGGGAAACATTCTATTTCACTTCTAAATTATCATAATCTCCAAAGGGAAAAATCCCTTAGGCTGTGGCACTTGTCTTATGGTCCTGTGAGGTCCCCAAACCCTATTCTGTCTCTCTTACCAGTCAGTGGGCAGGAAAGCTTTAGGACAGATGAGCACCTGACTGAATTACTGTCCCAGCCTAAAGTTCATCAGACAATGCACGTCTGCTTTTCAGTTTTTTCTTTCCTTTTTTTTTTTTTTTTTTTTGAGTCAGGATCTCACAATGCGGCCCTGGCAGGGTAACCTCAAACTCTCAGAGACCTGCCTGTCTCTGCCTTCCCGGTGCTGGGACTAAAGACATGCAGCACCATGCCTCCTGGCTCCAGTTATATTCCTAAGAGACAGAACAATCCTATGAGGTGGGATTTCATATGACAAGCCAAGAATTTGGTTTATACAAAAAGTTAGTGTTCTAAAAAACAAAAAGCCCTCAAAACAATTTTCATATGCCAAGGTGTGGCACTGGAGCTTTGCCAACAGAGAACACATGGAGAGTGATGATTAAAGCCATAGAGCAGTCACTTGGGAGAGAAGAGAGAAAACGCACAGGGTGCTCAGTTACTGCTCCAAACTCTAACACACAACGATACACAGTATGGACAGAAACAAAACAAAACAACCATCCAAGTGCTAGGCTGTGGTGGACACGCCTTTAATCCAGCACTCAGGAGGCAGAGACAGGCAGATCTCTGAGTTTGAGGCCAGCCTGGTCTACAGAGTGAGTTCCAGGACACGCAGGGCTACACAGAGAAACAAAACCAACAACAGCAATCATCATCCAGGCACTGCAGGGTCGTGGGCCCCTGTTGGCAATCATGGCCAGGTGCAGCAGCAGCATTCTGCAGAGGACACGGATGCTACAGCCAGAGAGTGTCCTGTAGGCATTGGGGTATTTAATAAAGAACCTGCCAGGGGCAAATGCTTATCTCAGAGTCGGCCATGGGGAAACACTGTTAAATGAACAGCACTGCCGTGGCCACTAAACTCTAAAGAGAACCAGAGCCCAGATGGCCACAGCAGAAATTGTCCTGAAGCACTGGTTTTCCCTTGACCCACACGATGAGGCTGTCTGTTATCCCTCTGCTGAGCCTTAGGATCTCCCTCTGGGAACAGATTAAGGTCACATCTTGTCAGAGATGAGAAGAATGTGACAAGAATAGTGCTGCTGGCAACATGGTGGCACCGCTAGCAGAGTCTGAGGACTGAACTTTTCCCCAGACATCCCCCAGTCCAAAGGTACCTAGTAAGGGTCCTCTCTGAAATTGGACAGATAACGTAGCCAGTCACTGGACAAAGTAGGTGGGAATCCTATTAGCCATTGTCCTCCTGTCCCTATTTCCGTCTCTTTCATTTCTTGTAAGTATCTTGCTTCAAAGTCAAACTAGAGCTCTGGGGAGGAAGTCCTGGAGAGAAAGACTTCAGATACCAATACCCATATGTCCCGTACCAGCCCAACAAACCAAACATGGTGCCGAACACTTTCTGGATCAAGTCGTGGAAATAAACGGCTGTGCACAGAAACATGCACACCCAGATGAAGGTCAGGAAGCCCAGGGCTACAACAAGGGTGGTGATAGCGGCATGGAGGTGGTGGCTGCGATCTGTCTTCACCTCATGCAGCACGGCCATCTCTTCCACGATCATGAGCGCACAGAAGGTCAGTAGGAAGGAGTGGCCCGAGATGTCAAAGCCATACCAGAAGCCCCCTTCCCGGTGGCACTGCTGCTTGCTACGATGCTCCTGTCTGATGCCCTCCAGGGCTGGGGACTGGTAGCAGCTGCCTGTGTAGTGCTCAATGTTGGAGAAGAGGGCTGTGCAGGTATACCAGATGGCTGTGCCCACGAGGAGGGTACTCAACCGCCGTAGGACCAGGCTGGTCTTGCCCGTTAGGTGGTAGTTGGTGAGGGCAATGAAAGGCAGGAGGAGACAGACTGTCCAGGCCCAGGCCAATTTAACAAAATACCTGACAGAGGAGGAAAACGCAGGTGAAGAACAGACTTGGCAGAAAAGAAATGGTATCGTCATGCTCCTAAGGAAAGTTATTTAAAACCCACCGAAGCGGTCCATCCAAATAGCTATGCCCTCTTCTATTCTATTAATACATGCTTACACATGCTTTATTCCCTAAGCACTGAAACTAGTTAACCCATAACTCTGAGGTGACACTGAGCCATATAGATGTGTCATGCCAAAATGGAGGTCATATGTGGTAGATCAGGGTTCGAATCCAGGGCCTGACATTTTCCAGTTAGGTTACTTTCTCAGGAAAGCAATATCTAAGTGTCTATCAAATGTCAGATGCATTCACCCATATCTACAATTAGCTGAGGAGGACAGGGTCTTTTTTTTTTTCTTCTAAGTATAGCCCAGGCTGTCTTAAACTGCCTACGTAGCTGAGGATAGTCTTAAACTCTAGACCCTCCTGCCTCGACCTCTCAAGCAGCACCATTATAGGTATCACACTCAGTTCTATGTGGTGTCGGGGTCCAAACCTGTGTGCATGCTAGGAAGGCTCTATCACCTGACTTGTACGGCCAGCCTTCATTTCACCCACTTTACAGAGAGCTCTGGGGGCTCAGAAAACTGAACTCTGCCGAGGCCACACACACAGTGGCAAACAGACTGAGCCACACTTTACGCAGCCCCAAAGTCCATGTCTTTTCTACCAGTGTTGTTTTCTACAAAGCTGGTAGGAAAAGAGCTTTACTCAAGCTACAGGACCAGAGTTTGAATCCTGACTCTGACTCTTATTTATTAGGGGTACCTTCAGGCCTCAGTTCCCTCAGCTAGGAAAGCTAAGGGCACCAAGCCGTTCTTAAAATCTCTTCCAGATTCAACGAGTCACTGCCAGTTCCCTCCCTATTAATCAGCATCACACCTTGGAACAAAACATTAGACTCCATGGCTACCCCTAAACAACAGAGATTGGTGTGCCAGGCTGCTGGGCTCCTGGTTCATTAGGCCAGATAAAGCAACATCTGCCACGTCTGCCTCCTCTGTGCTCATGAAAGGTGGCTGACCTGAAGACCTGGGCAGAAAACACACACAAAAGAGGTCTGAAACAAGTACCACCCTCACTCTCTGACTAGCCACTACCAGTGGGTAAGGATGAAGGTGGGCCAGGGACAGGATGCTTCTTCCCTAGGTTCCAGTAGTTTCTCAGACACCACCAAAGAGCCTATCACTAAAACCTTCGCAGGCTTGTTAAAGCCAAGGTCTGCCAGAAACCTGACCCAGCTGCTCAAAAGAGAAAACCGGGTTTGAAGTAGATTAACAAGAAGAAGAGTGGCAGCTTCTCCGCAAACTGGAGACACTAGTCTGAACCATTAAGTTCACATGGAAGGAGAAATTTCACCTTCCAAACTCCCTGGATTGCTCCAACGGAGTGCTGTACAAAAACTTGGGATATAAGTGTTTTTTAAAGAACTAGGAAAGAAATAAGTGGAGTTAGAGAGTCGTCCCAAAGAGGTCGGCTGAGGTTGCTTTCCTGGGTAACTGCCATGCACTTTAGAGTACTGAGAAAGTCCAAGGAGATCCAGGAGAAAGGTCACCAGCGCGAAAGGTTTCACGATTCTACCAACGTAGGGCCGGGAGGGCAAAAGCTCCCAGGGTGGTAGGTGGGTCTAGAGGTGGTCTTTAAGACAATGGTGGGATTTTTGCCACAGTGGTTAGGAGAAGGGTGTCTGACTAGCCGGCAGGAGTAAGGTGACATTTCTCCAAACAGGACAGGGGCGAGCACCTAACTCTGGGGGTGGAGTAAAAGCCGCTCCAATGTACCCACTGGCACTTATAACCCACCCGTCACCAACTCGATCCTCCTATCGGAATGCTCAAATATTAGGCGCGAGTGTCAACCGCTTTCCCAGGGTCCTGGCGTCCCGACACGCGCACGGACGAGGCTGTCAAGACGGGGCTCCCTCCCGATGACTCGCCCACCCCAGCATCCAACTGGCTTCTTGGGGCGCGGGGCCCGGGAGCCTGATGCACTCACACGTTGAGGACGTTGCGCTTATTGCTGAGGTAGCTCTCGGGCAGCGGAGACAGCTCCTTGAGGACCGAGCCCACCAGCATGGCGACCACCAGCGCCCAGGGCATGTGGCGCCGCACCGCTGCCCGCACCAGCGTCCCGCGGAGAAACCACGCACAGCGCTCCAGGTGCTCCATGCCGGTCCTTCTCGGCCACCGTCCGCCGCCCGGAGCCTTCTCGGCCACCGTCTTCCCCTGCGCCCGAGCTGGTACCGCCACATCCCTCTGGGCGCATGCGTGCTTCCGCAAGCTCCGCCCCCTAAGGGGAGGGGCTCCCTCTAGTGGCCAGGAGGGGTCTCTGCAGAGTGCAGGACTGCCTCTACCTGCGCCGCTTCCCCTCATCGCTCCCAAGCTACGTGCTAAGAGCACTGCAGGCTGCACTTTGCCTGGGCAATCTGCTACCCTCACGTTTGTAGGATTCTCGCTGCTTTCTTCATCTGCAAAATACAATCAAGAGACCCACCTTCTTAAGAGCTACTTTGGGAGTTCCTTATACTGGTTCAGATGCAGAGTTTTGAGATGAAGTTTCATTGGAAAGTAATTACTAAATTTAAATCTTATCAACTTGTTTTGTTTTGAGACAAGGTTTCTCTGAGTAGTCCTGGCTGTCTTGGGACTCATTCTGTATAACCAGGGTGGCCTCGAACTCAGAGATCACCTGCACTTTGCCTCCCGAGTACTGAGATTAAGGTCATGTGCCACCGTGCCCAACACTACTTCCGGTTTTGAGACAGGTAAGGGCCCTTGTTGTCAAGCCAAATAACCTGGGTTCAATCCTTGGGACCCACGTTGTGGAAGGCTAGAACCAGTTCGCATAAGTTGTTCACACACACACACACACACACACACAATAAATAAATAAATAAACAAACCGATAAATAAATAGATAAAATAAATGTAGGAATGAAACAATTGTGTTGTTGACTGAAAATCTTGGGTGTCTGAAGTTTGTAGAGCTCATATAAGGCACTGGTGACTCACTCAGTTTTGTCCCTTAGCTAAGCTCCTAGCCCATGAAGCTTCCCAGCCGTGAGTTCTTCCGTAGCCGCTGTATTTTATAGATTAACACTTAAAATCAAGATCAAAAACTCAAACCCACCACTTTCTAATTATTTTACTATGTTTTATTATTATTAATGTTCTTGTTTGTCTATTTTGAAACAGGATCTCTTTATATGGCCCTGGCTGGCCTGGAGCTCACTATCTAGAAAGGGCTGGTTTTGAACCTGTGTCTGTCTTCCTGTCTCTACCTCCCTCTTGGGTGCCGGGATTACAGGCATATGCCATCACATCTGGCTTAAATATGCTCTTGAGTCTACCTGCATCAATTGTACCTCCCTGGTACACCTCTGTGCTCTCTTCCCCCTCCTGTGATGTCACACAGGAAGCTTGAAACCATCCACATAGAAGTATTTACACTAAGGAAACTGGCAAGTGCTACAAAAACCAGCCTGTATTCTGTCCTCTCCTGTCTTCCCTGGGCTATGGCTCCATTTGTCAATGTATGGTTGAGCTGAAATCATAGGTGGGCTGTGGATACAAATGTCCAGTAAAATCACAGTGTAAGCATCAGCCCGTTATAGTTACAACAGAGAGTCCCGTGGGAGCTGGGGCTGTAACTTGGTTGGTAGAATGCTTGATTAGCATGCATGAAATCCTCGGTTCAGTGCCTAGCACTGCATAAATTGTGTGTGGCAATGCATGACTGTAATCCTCAGCATGCCAGACGTAATGGCTCAGCCACAGAGTGAGTTTGGGACAAGCCTGAGCTACATGAGACCACTATTCTAAAAAAAAAAAAAAAAAAAAGGATTGTATATTTCATTGTAAGTCATGTACAACACTCTTATATTGAGAGGTTTTTATTTTTAGAAAGTTCATAATCTATATATGTAAATACTAATATCTTTTCTTCAGGAGGGCTCATCGTATTAAACATTTAACAGCAAACCACAGTTTGCACACACATATAGTACACATAGAAACACATGCAGCATATAAGCAATTATGTTAATAGATCTATAGTTTTAGATACAATTTGATGACAGTTCATGATAGAACATGCTCCTACCATGTGTGGGAAGCTGGGATTTCTTTATGCTCAATTATACAACTCAACTTGATTTTTAAAACATCCTGGTGTGCCTGACCTATAATCTCAGTACTTGGAATGAGGTTGGGGGAATCTTGCAAATTCGAGGGCAGCCTGGTCTAGATGAAGAATTTCAGGGCTGTGAGGCTCTACGTTCAAATAACTAGTACCAAAAACCAAGCAAGCAAGCAAACAAAAGCTTGTCGTGACTCACTGTTGATTTCATAATAGGACATGAGAAGCACTGAAGTCGTAACGGTAAGACATTGCCGTGCAGTGCCCTTGCCTTCCCACCACAAGGGATAGAAGACTGCACGCAGGTGACGGAGGGAAGGCTCGGGGGTGAAGTGCTCACCATGCAAGCTCCAGGACTTCTGAGTAGATCACCAGCACCCACAGAAACAGCCAGGCGCAGTGGTGTGCCTGTGTAATTCCAGCACCGGAGACACAGAGACAGGGGGATCCCTGGGGTTTGCTAGCAGGGATCTTAGTAGAATTGGTGAACTCCAGGATCAACAAGAGACCCTGCCTCAAAAAATAAGGTGGAGAGAGCAAGATATCTAACATTAACTAACTCATTGACCTCTGGCCTCTGTATGGACTCAGATGTACACACACACACACACACACACACACACACACGGTGGGGGGAGGGAGAGAGACAGGGACCTCAGTAGTACCACCCTACTGTTGATTTACAACTGTTATTTGTCTTTTATATGAATACTCATTTGGAAGCATTGTTTTGTGTACAAATAAGTAGGAAGATACCCCATCTTCACGTACAGGAAGAATTAATATTGCTGAACTGTGCACATTATTTAAAACAACCTTCAGATGCAGACAATTCCTATCAGAAAATATAATCCTAAACTTTCTTATGTATGTGTTACCACTATGTACATCTGTACATCACGCGTATGCCTGGTACCACCAGTGGCCAGAAGAGATCATCACATCCCCTGGAACTGGAGTTACAGATGATATGTGCACGTTGGGGATCAAACCCATGTCCTCTGGAAGAACAATAAGTGCTCTTAATGGCCGAGCCACTTCTCTAGCCCTTTAATCCTGAAATTTCTATGGAATATAACAAAAATAGCCAAGGTAGGCATGAGCCAAAAAAAAGAAAGTTTATTATACCACCTGATTGCAAATGACATTTTAAAGCAGTAATAATTAAAACAGCATGGCACTGCCATAACACTTATATACATCGACCTTCAGAACAGACATGAGGAGCTGAGATGGATCTCAGTTGTCAGAGTGTTTGCCTCGCATGCACGAAGCCAAGTGTGGTAGCATGTGCCGGCCTGAGCCTGCAATCCTAATGTGTTAGAGGTAGAAGCAGGAAGATCAAGGATTCAAGGTCATCTTTGGGTACCTAGTCAAGTCTAGGCTAACCTGGAGTACAGGAGACCCTTGAGAGAGAGAGAGAGAGAGAGAGAGAGAGAGAGAGAGAGAGAGAGAGGAAGGGAGGGAGACTGGGTGGGGAGGGAGGGATAAAAATGCTGTATAATCTAAGAAGGGAATATAAGAAGGGAATAAAGTTGCAAACTCTTGTTTTGGTTCCCAGTTTGAGAGGTTTGGTTCACAGGTGGAGGATGAACTTTAGGCATGTGACAAGGCAGAAGGAGCCTTGAAGGAAAAGCAGGATCTAACTGCTCACCTCACCGAGGTAGGGGAGAGGAAAGGTGGAGAATGGAGGAGCCCAGGGCTACACCTTCCCATCAGGCCCTCCCCCTGCCTCCCACCTCTTGACAGCATGGTTTACAAATGATGAACCTATCCTGGATTTACAACCCCAGTGATATCAGGGCCCTTAGATTACACTCATTTCCCAAAAGCCAGTCCCCTGGAACCTGTGCCTTCAGCAAGGTGGTCACCTAGGGATATTTATTATTCAAAGCACATCTGCTTTGAACAGAGCTTGGTGTGAATAACTATGATCCCAGCCCTCAGAGCAGAAGCAGGAGGATGGCCCAAAGTTCACAGCTGTCCTGGGTTACACAGAGTCCGAAGCCAGGGAGCTCCTTAAGTGAGCCCTTGTCTCAAAAACCCAACTCACCAAATAAAAGCAATCTTTAAACCTGGCTCAGGCGAATAAACCTCCTTCTGCCCACCCCACCCCATCCCCCTTGATCTGTTTTTACAGTAAATCAACCTATGTTACTTGGTTAAATAACAATTTTTAAAAAAAAAAAATCTGGAATGGGAGTCTCCATAAAAAGTTCTAGTTAAATCTTTCTTTCTTTCTTTCTTTCTTTCTTTCTTTCTTTCTTTCTTTCTTTCTTTCTT